ACGTACGAAATCAGAGGGCAGCACACGGTGCGATCGCGCGACCCTGCCCGTGAGCAATCTCCCAACTCATCTCTGCTGTACGTAACACTTTTTCTTTTCTTTGAAGTAGTTGAGAAGAAAAATGGATAAGAGGATAGATTTCAAAACTATGAACTGTTGTCGGTAACTCAGTTTGTCCGCCTCTAAGTTAGTTGTCTTCTTTCTAGGACGGACAATGGTCGATAAGTTGTTCTACGCGAGAGTTTACCGATTGAAGGAAAGTACAACAATGAATAACATATCGATACATTTTTCTTTTCACAGTTTCGAGTGTACAAGTCTAGATGGCGCAACTGAATGGAGCATTTTTAAATTTTATCTCACCGAGATTGTGATTACATTCGTCTAAATCAACGGAACAACATAACAAACGCAACAGATAACAAAAAGGTAAACTGGACGGTATGTACATCATTGATTATTTGTTTTATCAAGCTGGGCGGAAATGACAAGTATACTTACCCCATTTATGTTTGCATGAAAATCCATTGATAGAAGGCAGATAAAAAGCATGCGTGTCCAAATTCAAGGCGTGGCACCCTTCTAATGAATATATTAATTACTTTCTAGACCCGAAAAATGGTATTCAACACAGTACGAGTTGAACTTCCTTTTCTCTACGGGGAAAAAAAAACTACAACTTCATTCTACAATTTATTGGGTATGTCGAAATGTACTATTACATGTGATATCAAGGTTTATGCAGCCTTATCAATAAAAAGAAAAAATCGGCAAGGTTGAATCTTCAACCGAACCGCAAAATTTACATAGAATACGTCGTTGGAACGCTTTAACATTTTTAAACGTGTCTGCATCTTTTACAACTCGGTTATAAAATTTGTAAGAAGCTTTCATATTATTGCTATAAAAAGGACGTTCATTTTCAATTGTCGGATAATATGTTTGAGAGACATCAATTTCGCAGGTGACCCGTGGACAGTCATGCGGTCTCGAGGGTAAAAGATAAATCTTTCTCGAAGTATATTTCCGCACGGGTGAACTAACTAACTTTTAAAAGATAGGCATATTACAATGAATAAAACGCACTTTTACATTTATACATTCTTATCTTCCGTCTCCAGGCAGGTTACTACGCTGAGAAAAGTATTTCTTTCATTTCAAAAAATTGATTTCTTTGAATAATCCTCACTTGGATGAAGTACCAGTGTTTTGGTAGAATGAACATGTAATTACCCCAACGAGACATATTTTTCATTCACAGAAATTACAATATTCTCCGTATTCCCTTAAAACCGCATCGCGGTTAAACATTCGGCATTTTTTGGCGGATTACATTTCTTTGATTATACGTTAAAATTGCTTAAATTCCATCCAAAGAAATAATTTCTTTGAAGGAAAAAAAATGTTTTTCTCAGTATACGGAAGGAACCATTAAGCCCAGGCCGGGCCTAAGGTTTTCCACCGAAGAAAGGAAGTACTCTCGATCAGAGGCGTGGCACCCTCCTCGGAAACGCGCACCCCAGCGATTTTCGGCAAGTTTCGTGGGGTGCATAAACCGGGGAGCTAAGTTCACTGACCCAATATAGGTCGGTGGGTCCTTGGAGTCTCCCTTCCTAGCCCGGCCTCCACAAGGCGACATTAAGAATCCGAAGACGTAGTTTGCCAGGGGACGGAAAGGCACGGGAAAAATCGTTGAAGCCACCGGGTCCGGGTCCAGGACACATCTCGTTACCCTTGGCCACCCTTGGACAGGACTCACCCTCGCTTATACCAGGAAAAGAGGGAAACCCAAGTAGTATGCCACAATCCGTATTGATTTTCGGCGGGTACAAAGAAAATGCCCTACTTATACGAACACCATTGGGTGTGGACAGCCTAAAGGAAATGCTCGGCTAGATTAGGGTCCTCTGTGCGACAGCCAAAGTCATTTCGTTTTAACGCAAGTATCAATACAAGGATATGAATTCACAGGGTCGAGAATGTGAATGCCGTTGACGTGGCGATCTCACGGATTACCCAGGAGGATGCGAAGTAACTCGACAAAGGGCGTAATAACTGAAAATGTTTATTCTTCTATGACAGTGACTGGCCAGCGTCCGTAGTCACGTTTAGTACGATTTTATCAAAGTAATAATAAATCAGCTATACCGATAAATCATGTACATACCAACAGACAACCTCTTAAATTTAAATATATAATGCTTTCGAGTCTATATACAAAAATAAACAAGGTAACAACACACACAGTCACGACGAAACTCACGAGAGAGAATGCTGCGAAGAAACGGGTCGCGCCTCCGCTTGATTATTACAACTAGCTAGTCCACGAACTCTCTACTTTCCAAATTCGATTACAAACTTAGGGTATACGGTAATATGCGATTCGCTGATATTAATTTATAAATATATATATGTATATATCGATTCGTAATTTTATATTTGTCAATGGCCGACCGCGGGTGCGCACCGCGAGGCGCGGCTTCCGCGGGCGAATCGTACTTTTTTATTTTTTTTTAACGGCAGGCGGATCGCGTAAAACTGGCGCTAGTTAGACGAATGTAAAGTAAATGGATGAAGTCAATGGAGGACGGCGTGCAGTGACGATTCAGAGGCGGACTTTAAAATGAAAAATTGTAAGAAACGACCGGCGATCGCGCTGTCCGAACGTCCACGTAGCGTCTATTGTACATCAGAAGTCACCGTGAGGGGCGCTTCAGCCACGAGTATAAAAAGTAACCATCACAGTAAATAAAAGACAGGGACATCTTGAAACGAATCGACGCTGCACCCACGCATCCACGTGACAAATGAGAATGTATCGTGACTTGGTGTGAATACTATCCCAGCACCTCGCGAGATACTCGCGAGCGAGGTGGCTCTTCAGGGTCTACGGTAAGATGATGCGGTACGGTAAAAAGATGCGTCGCGTGACATCGTTTCGGAAGTGCATTTCGAGACTTTCCAGGCGTTCGTTAAGTGTCCCGCCCGAGGCGAGATGGCGTGTCGAGACCGAACGATATTAACGAGCCGGGAAGCTGGAGATATGTCATGATTATTTCGGATGCGGTACCAAAGACCAAAAGCCCTCACCACATGCTGGCCCACTTCGCCTACTGGAAGGGTATCAAGGCGAGATTCCGCTACCAGAGTTACAGCAGTACATTTTGCAAGATATTCTACGTAGACAGTTAATCCACCATAATATCTCTGTTTCAGTCAATCGGCTATAACCCGAAGAAAACATGGATCCATGAAACCTGTCTTGGATCTATTCGGGCATAAAATGGCGGCTTAACCACGTCCATCGTCATAAATGGACACAAAAATCCCAGCTCGATAGCGTCGTTTGACCTCGGCGTTAGGTCGATTCATACCAAATTTAAAAGTAGCGTCTGCTGAAATACACTTTCACATGCACTTGTAATCGGAGTATATATACTCGGTAACGTTGTGTATCGTACGTGTACCGTCCGGCTTTACCGGCAAGAATGATTTGCAACGTCAGTAAATTGAGTTTTAAAATCGGTGCTTGAACTAAACTGATAGTACAAATATACCTTCTGTTTTTGTGGGACCGTCAATGCTACTTTTTCGTTCCGACCGTATCTGATCGGATAGTATAAATCGACCTTTACACGAGACTCCTGGCGACATCAATGCCCGCAAGCGCATGACGTCGCCAGAAGTCGCTTCGCGGAGACGCGAATTCGGTACTGCGCTCGGGTTAGATGAGAGTCTTTCGCAGCGGCAAAACCCACCGATTGTCGCGGCTTAAAAATTAACTTACAAGTTCCTTTCTTCATTTATGTGTAATCAGTTCGACGCGCCATAGCGGGGACAGTGTAAACGCGCGTGTCGCGCCGCCGCGCACGCTTTTTACGAATACTACGGTCTACAGTATACAAACTAAGTCGCGCTAGCAAACGGAATCGAATGATTCGCCTCCGTACGGTGCGTCTAGCGCCTCGCGATCTTAAAAAATAATTGGCCGCAAGACGGCCAGGCGCTTTGCTTTCCCGATCGGGATATTGCTGGATGCCGCCTGAGGATCGTGCGACCGTGTTCACCCCTGACTATTGAAACATGGACCACCAACTCGGCGACTCCACCAAAGACCATGACAGATGAACAACAAGCGCGCCCCGCTCCACAGACCAAGGACATAGGGGAAGAACGTTAAATTAATTAAATAACTCGAGAAGCTAGAGAATAATTTACCTTAAAAGGTCCATCAAATGGACTCGCGAAATAACACTTCGCAGAGGATATTAACATATAATCTAATATGTTTCAGATTAGCATAGAGAGGCGTCGACGTCCAAGAGAGTCGATTCAGGTCTACCGGAGCGGAGCATATCTTCGGAGGACAACTCGAACGAATACCCAATCCACGTTTAAATAGTCGAAGGTTGACATTTACAATTAACTCGCATGTACACGCACAACGGTAAGTTAGGTTACTCGATAAATTATGAACATAGGTAGGAGCGCGCGAGAGCGCGCAACCGCTTCTCAAGGGGCGCGTCCGCGCGGCCTCGCGCGCTGCGTTTACGCTTGTACTGGCAGTGGGCTCAGCTCCCCTCAATACTCTGGTAGTACGGAGTTCTTATCACAGAGATATCAATTGTTTGGTGCTATAGTCTCTAGCCGCGAACGTTACGCCCGAGCCAGGAAGCCAGGAAGGGCCGGGACCCATCGGGATGACCAGGAACGCAGTCTGCGAACGAGTAGCGAGAATCCGTTAACGCCGCGACATCGAGTCGTCGCAATGTCCAGGACGGCCGTGCACCGTACGTCGTAACCTACTTATCCGGATAAGCCCTGAGAGAATTTCGGAAAACAGCGAGATACCACGTCGAGGGGGAGCGACCAGGCGCGGTCCACGCTCCTTCGTCGCTCCAGGAAGTTCCGAGTGGCGGATCGGACGTTCCGACGAGGAGCGGAAAGGCTCCTCTCGAGGACGCGCGATCAACGCAGGGGGACTCCTGCGCTGCGACCACCTCCGCGCTCCCGGGGAACAGCTTCCCAGCGTAACGTTCTCCTCCCGTCGCACTCGGCGCGCTTCGTAAATATATTCATTTATATGTATACATCACCAGTTAATACTAGGATTCGAAAGTAATTGCAGCGCGAGCACACGTACGAATTTAGGAAACGACCGGCAACGAGGAATACGGACCGGAGAAGGGCCACCGGACTGGAGCACTAAGAGGCCCTCGCGAACTGGATGACGGAGTTCTGCCTCTGAGAGGCGAGCTCGGTGCGTTCGCTCTCCATGGACTCGAGGATCATCTTGCAGCGTTTGCGGGGTGGCAGGATGAGCGTCTCCTTCACGGGGATGGCGAGGTCGAGGGGGTCGGGCGAGGGCGCCGGACTCACGGGGTTGCTGCTGGGCGGGGTCAGCATCGGCTCCCTGTCCACCCTGACGCCGTACTCGCGCTGGTGCTCCTCCTCAACGGCCTCCAGGGCAGCCTCGACCCTCCTCCGGGCGTCGTTGCCGGGCAGGTCGAGGAGAGAGGAGCACTCGTTGACGGGTGCGTCTCCCGGAGACCGGGCGCCGGAGTAGGCTCCGTAGGTCGTGGAGACGACCTCGGGGTAGAGGAAGACGTGGGAGTCCGGCATCTGGGCCGCCATCGGGGGGCTCTGGAAGGTGCGCTCCTCGGCGGCGGCGGCGGCCGCGGCGACCGCCAGCAGCGCCGGATTGACCCCGGGCACCGGGGTCGCCTGCTGGCCGTAGGACTCCCGGGGGGCCGGGTAGAGGTAGTAGAAATCTCGGTGCTGCGCGTACCCGTGGTGGTGGTGCGCGTCCCCGACCTCCTCAGTCTTGTTCTCTTTGTCGGAGCCGCCGGACGAGCCCAGGGAGCAGAGGGTGCCCGCTACCACGGCGGCGGCCGCGCCCTGGGAGATCTCGACGACCGGTTCGATGGGCGAGTCCCGGGGCGAGGTCACGCTCGAGTCCGAGTGGGTCTTGATGTGCAGCTCCATGGTCTTCTTGGAGTTGAACGTCTCGTGGCAGAGAGTACACTTGTACACCTTCTCCCCGTAGTGCGCGACCTGGTGGAGCTTGAGCACGTGGTTGTAGCCGAACGACTTGCCGCATATGTCGCAGGTGTAGGGCTTCTCGCCGGTGTGGGTGCGCGTGTGCACCTTGAGCTGCTTCGAGCAGGTGAACCCTTTGCCGCAGGCCTTACAGACGTAGGGCTTTTCCCCGGTGTGCGTGCGCATGTGGATGACGAGCTGGCCGCTCTGGATGAAGGTTTTGGCGCACACCGAGCACTTGTGCGGTCGCTCGCCCGTGTGTATCCTCATGTGGCGGTGCAGCTTGCCGCTATGTTCAAACGCCCGCTCGCACACGTCGCATTTGTACGGCCGTTCCTTCGTGTGGATCCTGCGGTGCACGCTGAGATTCTCCTTAACGGAGAAGGACTTGTTGCAGTACTCGCACTGATAAGGCTTTTCCCCGGTGTGGGTACGGTAGTGCCGCGTCAACCTGGCCGGCACCGCGAACGTCTTGCTGCAGATGTCGCACCGGTACGGGTCCTCGCCCTCCTTTCCGTGGGAGCGCAGATGGCTCTGGTAGGCGGTCTTCTGGTCGAAGCTCTTCTGGCAGAGCAGGCACTGGTACAGTTTGTCTCCTCCGATCGCGCCCATCGTCGCCTCGGCCGCGCCCGGCGTCCCGAACACGCTTAGGTCCGGACTGCACACCAGGTTCTTCACCGGGTTCATAGTCTCCAGCTCCGGCATCCCTCCGGACATCGGCATCTGTCCAGGGTTCCGGGGCTCTGTCCGGTAGAAACCCACCATCCTCGACGTCCTCTCGCGACCTCAGGTTATCTGCAATAGGAAAGAGGCGCTCTTGTTAGCGAGACATCGAAATCGGACCAACACGAAATGCTTACATTTTTCCATAATTCGGAGAAACCCTGGTCAAAGAGCTACGTTAACCCACAAATGCCTCATGACAATCGATTACCGACTCTTCTTCCTATGTGACCCGCCGATCGCTCGAGAGAAAGATCACCCCTCGGGTCCCGGTCAATCGATTAATTCAATCGACCCCGAACCGATCGTGCGATTGAAACCGACTCGCCGAGTTACGCGGCGGAAACGATTGATCGGTATGGAATCTCGTAACTCGATCGTAGGTTATCAAGGTTTCATTGCGTTATGGGATCCCAAGTTTCAATGTTAGTTCCGTTTCCTTAGTTTTCAATGTTAATTTCATTCAGTAAGGATAAAAAAAAGAAACCATTACTTCCCTGAGGAAACGGATTAAGAAACTCGATAGAGTTTCGCCCCAAATACATATAATAAGCGTGAACGTGGAAATTTTTTCCCGCCCACGTGGAAATTCATGTATTTTGAAAAATATATGCCAAAATATATAGTTGATACAGCAAAAATCTGAGAATACGCTACCGCAAATACATTCCTAGGTATATTTTTATTTACATGACATGTCCANTTGTGAATTATGCTTTACGCATCTTGCGAGATACGGGGGTGCGTAATCGGCGATTACGCGCCGTAAAGATCGCGCAATGCGATCGTCGCCCCACTGCGGTATCTCTTGAGCTCGAAACGCCCACTCGCGAAACGCCCCGCGCGAGACACGCACGGAAACGTACGCGCCTCGCCCCCGCACGCACACGCACCCGTGTGGTTTCGCGATCTTGCGCGTTCCCGCCTCCCGTCGCAACGCAATTTCGCCCACCGGGTGGGAAAACATTCCGAGGGACCCACATCGCCTCCCCTTCCGAGAGTTATCTTCCGACTATGCGTTAAGGTGGTTTGCAAATGGCGTCGCAGAGGTTTCGTTTCCAAAACTTTTTTCCCTCGCTAAGTGTACCGAATCCTTTCAAACTTTACACTGTGAGCCTGAAGGTTATAAAAAGAGCCCTCCACCCACGAAATTTCAATTCTCTTTTTTATTTCTTTATAGACACTTTAAAAATGTTGTATAATAAATGACATTTCATGGGTGGAGGAACCTTCCTCGTAGTTCCAATATTCACGTTGTAAAGTTTTCAACGATTTGGGAACACCCAGCTCGGAGAAAGATATCATGAACAATTCACTCCTCGGAGGCCACTTTCATATCCCCTTAAGTCCCGATTCCAGATCACGCATGAAAAATCTACCCCCGCGACACTAGTTTGAAACTGAAAGCGAAACGTCAAAAATAAAGCCTCCGAAATACGTTCTAAATACGGAGCTTATGGACGCGCATGCGCGAGATACCTGGAGTTTATAAATATATTTCATTATACAAATAATATAATAAATATTTACGACGATTTTTAAATTACTATTTTGAATGACTTTTACATGTATTAGATACTCCAGACATTCCACGGTATTACTGGATGATTGATTTTCGTGATGCTTTGGATGATATTAGATTTTAATATTTAGATGACGATGAACCGCATGGCACATGAAAATGTTGAATAATAACGGACGAAGTGGTTGTATGGAACGGTTATTATCGGTATGTTTTTTTTTTCTTTCAGTTGGTTTTTCAAACGAAGGAAATTTCTCTAGCTTGCATTGACACTTTTGCAATCGTTCGTGTATCGGTGTGTCGCGGAATAAACGGCAGGGGAGGTTATCAACGCTCCCTATATGGGGATGATAAAGATCCTCGGAATTCCGAGGAAGGGCTCCTTCATGGTGGTGCGCGTGAATAAACATCCCCCCTATCGATCGGCTTCTCGAGAATTATCTTGACCCCCATAAGACCCGGTTCCTATACAGAAACACCAAGGTACCGGTATATCGAAGTGACTTTGCGAGGGGAAAATAAAAATTCAAAGGATAGGTCACTTGACAGCCGATATTTCCGATAACCAGATACTGATCGCATACGAGATCGTGAAGGATCGATTACCAAACAGTATTTATTGTTAACAATGCCGAAGATTCAGGCATCGACGATCAACCGAAACGACACAATAAAGGAAGAATCGAGCACGACAAAACGAGTCGCTTTTTGAAATCCATGAAAACTACCATTACCAAACAACGCAAATATTTCTCCGAGATATTTCTCACTCCATTATTCCCGTCGATTCTACATAAAAAAAAATAATAAATGAAACATAAAATAGGTCACTGCTCTCGCCGCGTCCGAAAGCCATTAACGGAATATTACTCGCGATTGAGAGTTCAATTGTTATTACAGATTCTAAATATAAAAGGAATTATAAAAAGAACGGATCACTGAGCTCATTACTTACAGTCCAGTTGTTTGTGGAAATTCCGCATAGGGAAAAAAATAAATTAAGGGGATCGATCCTCGTTAACAAAATAACATACAAATCGTAAATATAAATAATACTAAAGAAGTAGGATTTAAAACGAGTCACCGTGCCATCGCCGATGGTCAGTCTCGAAATATCGTCCATTATTTACATTATTATTTTAAGCGCGAATTGAAAATAAAAGGGAAACAATTCCTATATAAGATAGAAAATGGGTCAGTGCGCTCTTCTAGGCTGGATCGTCGATTAAAAATTCTTATCGTCGTTTTTTATTTATATTACAATTATTTGTGCGAGTTGTAATAGTAAATAGATATATAAAGAAGAAATGGGTCGGGGCGCCCAGCCGCGTCGCAGGGAGCGTCATAGAGTCGGAGTCCACGCGCATCGGGTCGGCGGCGGGAGGCAGTCGTCGGGGTCGGCAGTGCAGTCGGCCGGCGGAAACCGCTGGCCGCTGCCTCCACGTGTACCCTCCACATTTTTTTATAGCGATCACCGACCTCGTGCAACGCGCCGCGCGGTAAGGACGTTGCGTTACATCACCGGAGCGGCACTTCCAGTGCGCCGCCCGACCGATCCGCGCCCACGGGGGCCCTGTGGATCGACCCCGATCGTCCTCGATCTCGAAACCGTAGCCGAGGACCCACGAAAATTTTATTGATCGCGCTAAACAACCCCGGCCTCCACACCGCAGGGACGATTCTAACGAGGGGAAAAACTCAACTGCGCGGGGACGATGCGCGATTCCGTTCGGCCTCCTCGCCTAACGGGATCGACCGAGACAAAGAATCGGAACCGAGCTCGCCGGTTTCGGACCTCGAGGGGCCATTGCCACCCCCGAATCGCTTTTCGCCGAGCAGTTGACTTTTAACGCCTCGCGCTCTTAAGGCGACGCGAAAGTGCCGTCCAAGGGGTCGGCGCGTTTATGAAATTTTTCTGAGATGGGTGCACCGAATCGTTTGAAACATTACCACGTGAACGTAGAGGCTCTAAGAAAGGTCCCGATCCTTGGGAAATTTAATATTTTAAATTGTCTATGGATATTTTTCACAGTTTGAATAAATATTCATATATTTAGTTTCAGAGCCTTCCCTAAGGACTTGAGGTAAAAATTCAAATGATTCGATATACTCCGTTTGGAGAAGTCTCATAAATGATTGATCCTTCGGATGCCACTTTCTTGGCACCTTAAGGCCTTCGCGAATACCTCGCGCAACAGTAATAACAGTAATAACAGTAATCGTGGGCACAACTGTAAGAATCGGACAGTTACATTCTAGGAGATTTAATATTCTATTCTGTTTCGGCAATTTCATTGACCAGTTCTTATTGTTATGCTTACGATTACTGTTACGCGAGGTGTCTATGAAGACCTTTATGGATGGCGATCTTATATGTGTTTTAAGGGCACTTTTTGTTCTTTTAGATGATTAAAATCGTGGAGCCTGCAGAAACTGGAAACTGGGTAGATAAACTAATATCGAGGATGCGCACAAAATATGTTATTAAAAAATTGAAAAAGAAACCGTTGTATCATCTTTATTTCATTCTAATGGAAGCGTTTTCGCTATAACGAAACGTTTTATCATGAACAGATGTGTTTTGATAATTCAGAGTTGTTTTAATTATAAGAAAAATTATTAAAATACAAGCTAGCGCTTAATATACAGTTCGTCCGAGATGTCCAGTATTGTCTAATTTTGTCAAAGTTCAGGTACAGAGGGAATTAAATCGCGATACGAGCATTACCGAAAATCGATTCGATCGAAGCGACGAGATTATCTTTCGCGTCTACATGAACTCATAGCGGGTAAAGTGCAGGAAGAAAAAATGAAATTCGGGCAAAGGGGTATTATCTTAAAAATCGGGTAAAGTGGTGCGATATGTGCGGCATTTCCTTCCAAACAACCAGCAATTCACTCATCGTTTATCTAGTTTGTAATCCTTATTCCCGTCATTTGCCAGTTCTCGGAACGATTTCTCAAACACGCATTCATGTAATCACGTGCAAGAATTCTTGCAACTAGTAAACAATGTTCGTGCCGGAAAAACATCCGTCAACGGCATTATTGACAACGAGCGTTACTCCAGTCCAACATCACTCCAATATAATAAACTTTCCATAAAAATCTACGGACCGTTCACTAAATCCCCTATAAATAAAAGGAAATAATGTAAGAAAAAATCGAATCGATTGTCAATTCAAGGGCATCGCTTAAAGAATTCCCTTCCTCTCACGCAATAGCCAAATAAAAGTAATCGTCAACGTTTTCTGTCACTTGAACAGCAATCAACATTTTCAAATGATAGATAAAAAAGAACCTCAAGACGAGTCATCATTTATAATATAGGAGATCCTGTCATTATTCCAAGAGCCAACTCTCGAAACGTCAAACCGAGTCTTCCGGTTAAAATCGGACAACCGGCCATCGAATTTTTTTAATGCAGGTCCGGTGAAATCTGTTTCACCCAACGATATCCTCCGGCCGAGCCCCAAAAAACCCGATCCTTACGTCGAATCAACCCAATGAGCCGGACCCTGAAAGAACTCGACCAACCTGTGCGCCTCCTCGACTCGACGAATCCTCATATAATCCAAACAATCCCGTGCGATCGGAGCCGGATCGGCTCACAGTCCCATCTCTATCCTGAGGTATCACTGGGTCGCACCTAGCAGCACTCGCGATAAAATCCTAGCCAGCATCGCACCGGTAAATCGTCCGCTCGCACTCGGCTCGAAGTTAAAAATGACTAAAAACCGAAGGACCCGCCTCGGGACGACCAATCATACTGTGCAATGTTTACCTCCTACTCGGACCGAGCGGGACCGAGGAGCGGCGGCGGAAGCCGAGGATGACCGAGGCGGCGGCCGAGGAGAGCCGAGGCCGGCCGAAGCAGCGGAGTCGGCAGAGGGGCTAGTCTCCCCCCGACCCGCGCGACCCGCGCGCCGCGCCGCGCGCGACGACCTACAATTTAGGGCGGCTAAGCACTGCTCCCAGCACGTGGAGGCAGTCGTCGCGGTTTCGGCCGGCGGCGCGCGTGCGGCCCGCACCGGCTCTTGCGGAGCCCGCCAGCCGGGAGACGGCCGCCGCCACGCCGAGCGGAGGACGCGGTGACCCGCGGGCTGGCTTCGACGCGTGCATTCACCGACGCGCACCCATACGCGCGCGAGCCTCGCGCGTGTTCCCCACAACGCGGCGCGGCGCGTCGCCCCGCGTATCGCGTATCGGCTCGAGCTGCCTCGTCATTGATAGACGGCTCGAAGCTCCCGGTACGCACCACGCACACCGCCGCGCGCGGCGTCTTTCGCTTTCACCCTAAACGCTGGGCTTGACCCTAAGCGGCGCCTACCCTTCCGACACCTCCATATTTTTGCGCGATATTCGAGCCCGAGGTGTCGCCCACTATTCGGGGATATTGCTTCCACGCGCGTACGCGCTTCCCAGGGAAAATATTAGCTCTCGATATCGACGGGAACGATTGCTCGGCTCGCGCGGTGAGTATTTTTAGAAACGCAGGGAAGCCGTTTTCGGGCCGCCGTTTTGGACCAGATTTTATTATTAAACTGTTGTTTTCCGTTTGCGCCGCGTCGTTGTAGGATTCAACGGAGATACTTGGTGGTAGGTCGGCAACGATCGACCGAAATAGTGGAGGAGCGTTTCACCACCTCGTCTCACGTTTTACTCGACAATGTCGTTCCATGACGGGAACGGTGGTTCGGATGGTGGCGGATTTTCCGGATATCGGACGGCCACGGGTCGACGATCGCGACTTTCGATTGCGCGTCAGACCCGCGTCTTCTTCCTTGTCTATATCCTTGGGCGTTGTTACCCCTCCGGGGGCCAGGTTTCACAACCGGAAGCGTTTCTCGGGTTGATGCGCACCTGCTGAAGGTTGCTCCGTTAAATTGGGCCGAAATGATGTACACGTGTATTTTTAATTATGTGAAATTGCGAACGGAGAACCGATTCCTCCTCGTAACGCTCGCATAAATGTCTATCGCTTATCATTACTCTGATTTTTTTATTCTCGTTCCTCCTTCAACATAAAAAAGATCCTTTCCACCCTGAGGAAAAAAATATGATCGAATGATAGAAATATTTTATTAATAAAAAGAATAATTATTTAAGTTAAATAAATTGGACGCAACGTTTCTTTGGTATTATGACAATTTATTTCAGTCGAATAATTATTTGAATTAACAAAACATTTCTTTGGTTCGATAAACCTTTTTTACAGTGCAGGAATTAAGTAGCGGCTGGTCAACTACCGGCACGCGACCTTCATCCTTGAAGACGTAAGAATAAGTCCCTTGATGTATAGCCGACCCTGCCCCATTGCCCCGATGGGTGTTACCACCCCGTCCCGCTTTCTTCATGGGTAGGTAATAGTGCCTCTTAGGTCGGTGCGCACCTGTCGAAGGTTATTCCGTTCTTCAGGGACGAGAAGCGGAATTACTTCGTCGCTTGAATCTGGGTTGATCCGCTTGGACTTCCAGGGCCACGCAAGCACGCATTATCTAACGTCCACATGTTGCCTGGAAGCGATGCGTAATACGCGTACCAACGTACGTATCCACCTGGCGTCTTCGCTATTTTGGTGATTAATCTTTATAGGTTGCAATAAAATATAGTCGGCATCTTCCAGGAAGTATTTACGATTCACTGGGTCTAAAAACAAGAAAATAGGAACTCGACGTGGAGTGACAATAAAGATGTGTGGTGTATAACACAGGTATCCGATAGCATCAGCAATCCCTTACCTATTCCTGATCTTACCTCCTCAACACGGATGAAAACATGCCAAAGTGTACACACAGGTATATCTATTCAATCATTTTTTTCAGCCCACCTTGAGTGACATCACAGTCTTGCATTTCTGTCTTCAGTTTTACACCGATGGAACACTTACCTGGAACCCCCCACGAGAGACAGCCTAGGTCCTTCTCGACTCTGCGTCAATATTTTAGGCCCCATCCTTGATCCTTGATCCTCACCGCGTGATGTGTGATTCCATAAATATCTCCTAAAACTGCCAGCAAATTTCCACAACGTCTCGATTACTTAACGAGTACATTGTAAGTAATCGACTTAACTCGAACGTAAATTAAATTATCGAGTAGTAGTAAACATACTTCATGTATCAGTGTTTGCGGCTAAACGGGTAATCTAAGTACTAATTTTAGACCGAGATCCGTCCTACGGGTAGAATAGAAATTTTCTTAAGACTCGAATGGGCTTCCTTTAAATTAACCTACGCCAGACTTGGTTGATATTTTGCCAGACCGTCTCGAGACTGAAAATCTTCACCCGGGGTGAGTCATAATCGCTGGTCGGCGCAGAGACCTGTAAAATGTAAAGATGCTAAGTTGGCTTACGACACGTGCCAATGTATGCGCGGCCATGTGCACATCTTTTTTACGACACCGGGAGGAAACTGCTGACACGGAGTTAGCCCGAGGTAAAAGCACGGCCTAAAGCTGCCGCATTCTCTGGTCTCCGACCACGAGCTTAGACATGGTGAAAGCAGGTGAAAAAATGACTGACCAGTCGGTAAGGCCAACGTTCGGGTTACTTCGTGCTGCACCGATGAGTGCATCCGTTAATGGGGTTACGTATACAGTCTGCGCCGGTGATGCGCTCACCTGAAAGGGCCACGGAAAAATAAATCTGAAGGAGACTTTTATATCCCCTCGGACTTTTACGATGGAAGAAAGAAATCGTCCTGCCCGAAAATCCGTCGAAGGGCTAACTTTTAAAGTAGGATACCGGGGGAGCACCGGGGAACATATCGAGCGTTTGAAACATTGATAAAGTATGGGAAGGGTCGCGCTAGATCCGATAAACGCTTCGAGTTTCCTCCGCGTTGATGTCGGTGGCCGTGATAACGCTCCCAAATGGAACCCTAGAAATCGAACGAAATTACGCTTTCCTTCCATTCTTAGAGGTACTACGTTATAATGATCGCATTTTGCGTCTATACTTACGTGTACCTCTGTATCGTAAATCCAACATGGCCGCCGATGCGTCACCTGGAAACTTTGGACCGCGCTAAATGAATTTCAGACAACAATATACATATAGAAAGTGATTCACAAAAGAACAAGACACCACTGATGTGACTTACAGCGTTTATAAATATTATACCCCGACTTCTCGAAAGAACCCCTTAGTGAAAATTAAATGATCTTCCCTTCGCGTCCAAAATCGTCAGAAAATAAATTTCGCAAGTTTCGAGACCTTCGTTAGAACCTCGATAATGACACGTTAAAGTTTAAAATCATTCGGAGTACCCATTTTAGAGAAAAATTTGATATATTATTATATCTAATATATTTTTATACATATATTTTTACTTTTTGATATACATATATGACCCTTTCATAACATCTTATGTCACATGTTACCGAATGAAATTGTTCTTCATCATATGAAATCAAAGGCATTCGGTTCTCAAAGAAAGAAATCCTTTCCATCAATTTTCGAGTGGAATATCTCCTCGAATCTATGTTTAAGGGTCGGTGGAAACGAGACACTCGATGGGCCCTATTATTTGACGCAAGTCTCTTATCAAACGCCATGTTTAACAAACCGGCGTCCGAGCCGTGTGTGCTTTTCGAAAGCAAAACCGCGGGTTTCGAGAAAGCGAGAGGAAGGAAAGGGCCGCGCTACCGAGGAGGGCCACCGGTTTTGCGAGCAAGTGCGTGCCGGTGTAATGATATTACCCGACGGAGCGTGCAGAGCAATGACCCAGTGCGTACGCTGCACGTGTAGGGACGGGAAACCTCGACGACCGCCTCATCTCGCGGGGCAACGGACGCCGCGCGGCGGACACGCGAGCGTGCCGCGCCACCTCTACCGGTACTTCGCCGTGCAGGACAAGGACTCCCGAAGTGGAGAAATGGCGACGCGGTCCGCCATGATGGTAGGTCTCGACCTCTACGTCATAGTCGAGACCGTTCACCGTCTCGGTTGGGAGTGAACTCGCCCGGCGATTAACCGAGGCGGCGAGTTTCTAACGTCGCGACGATTTAATCGGAATCTCTAATTATAATAGTAATTAGTACGATGGTAAGGAGTACGCATCTAGGTCAGTGTTCAGGAGGACCTAGGTGGAAACACCTAGTACACGGAAAAAAAGGAAATTTTTTTTATTTTACCCTTAGGAATAATTCCAACAACGGCAGAAGTGCAATCTTATCGAACATAGACGTAATCAGTGAAGAGGTTTCAAAGAATGCACCCTAAATTTGTAAATGAATTCCCAGCAACGGGCGAAAAAAATATCTTTATCCCTACTCGAATAAGCAATGTATAATTTGCAGACGCTGGAAAAGAACTATCGCTACCTTGAATAGAATTTCCGTTGTTTCGGTAAGGTTATCGTATTTTCGTTTTTAATATAACAAATATGTTGCCGGTCCACTTTTAACGGTTCACGTTTGCCGAAATGAAGTCTCTCATTATGACTATGAATTCTTTTTCTCCGGGTAGGTATAAACGGCGAAGGTGTTGCGTACTTTTCGAATGTTATCGATCGGAACGATGTACCTGCGCAGAAGGCGTGAGCGCTCGTATTATTTAGATATACCGGTTAAGATCTAAGATTTATGATAATTCGTTGAAACGCGCTCTGGCGCTAAGTCGTCGCTCGTTGCGACGACCTTGCCACTCGACGTCGCAGCGGACCAAGTCGCGCAACGTAGCTGCATATAAAACGGTTCCGCGCGCGGATTAGAAAAGCACGCGGCGCGTGTATCGCGTGCACGTGCTCGGCGTCTCTTCGAAT